TTATTGAAGTCTATAAGGGCTGAGTGAAATGGTGAGTAACATATCCGACAATATTGTGTAATTATAGAAGGCTATAAGGGCAGAGTTAAACGGTGAGTAACATACCCGAGGACATTGCGTAATTATTGAAGTCTACAAGGGCAGAGTGAAACTGCGTGTAACATACCCGACGATATTGTGTAATTATTGAAGACTATAAGGGCAGAATGAAAGGGTGAGTAACATACCCGTCGACATTGCGTAATTATTGAAGGCTATAAGGGCAGAGTGAAATGATGAGTAGCATACCCGAAGAGATTGGGTAATTATTGAAGTCTATAAGGGCAGAGTGAAATGGTGAGTAACATATCCGAGGACATTGCGTAATTATTGAATGCTATAAGGGCAGAGTAAAATGGTGAGCAACATACCCGACGACATTGCGTAATTATTGAAGGCAATAAGGGCAGAGTTAAACTGTGTGTAACATACCCGACGACATTTTGTAATTATTGAAGGCAGTAAGGGCAAATTGAAACGGTGAGTAACATACCCGACGACATTGTGTAATTATTGAAGGCTTTAAGTGCAGAGTGAAACGGTGAGTAACCTACCCGACGCCATTGCGTAAATATTGAAGGCTATAATGGCAGAGTGAAATGGTGAGTAACATACACGACGACATTGCGTAATTATTGAAGGCAATAAAGGCAGAGTTAAACGGTGTGTAACATACCCGATGACATTGTGTAATTATTGAAGGCAATAAGGTCAGAGTTAAACGGTGAGTGTCATACCCGACGACATTGTGTAATTATTGAAGACTATAAGGGCAGAGTGAAAGGGTGAGTAACATACCCGTCGACATTGTGTAATTATTTAATTCTATATGATTAGAGTGAAACGATGAGTAACATGCCCGTCGATATTGTGTGATTATTGGAGGTTATAAGGCCAGGGTGATGCTGTGAGTAACATGCCTGCCGTAACTGTGTAATTATTTAATTCTATAAGAGCAGAGTGATTCGGTGAGTAACATACCCGACGGCATTTCTAATTATTGAAGGCTATAAGTGCAGAGTGAAACGGTGAGTAACATACGCGAGGACATTGCGTAAATATTGAAGGCTACAAGGGCAGAGTGGAACGGTGTGTAACATACCCATCGACATTGTGTATTTATTTAAGGCTATAAGACCAGAGTGAAAGTGTGAGTAACATACCCGAAGAGATTGTTTAATTATTCAAGTCTATATGAGCAAAGTGAAACGGTGAAGAACATACCCGACGACATTATGTATTTATTGAAGACTATAAGGGTAGAGTGTAACTGTGAGTAACATGCCCGACGACATTGTCTAATTATTGAAGGCTATAAGGGTAGAGTGTAACTGTGAGTAACATACCCGACCACATTGTGTAATTATTGAAGACTATATGTCAGAGTTAAACGGTGAGTAACATACCCGACGGCATTGTATTGTTATTGAAGATTATATGGGTAGAGTGTAACTGTGAGTAACATATTCGACGACATTATGTAATTATTGAAGGGTATAAGGGCAGTGTGAAACGGTGAGTAACATGCCCGACGAGATTGTGTAATTATTGAAGTCTGTAAGGGCATAGTGAAAAGGTGACTATCATACCCGACGACCTTATATTATTGAATTGCTGAACATGGGCACGAGTGGATAGCAAAAATTGCTTAGACCAAAAGGATAGGAATAGCTGGAGATCCATGGTCGACTTCCTTTTTTAAAGTAATGCACGCTAATGATAAACGAACTCCTTTTCTCTTTCCCTCTCTTTCTCTCTCTTCCGCTTCCTCTTTCCTCTCTCTTTTCTCTGTCTCTTTTTTCTCTCTTCTGTCTGTCTGTCTGTCTGTCTCTCTCTCTCTCTCTCTCTCTATATATATATATATATATATGTATATATATATATAAAGTATTTTCAGAAGTAACCTGTAGAAAAATGCAATATGTCTTAAGGGAAAAAGGCAATAGGAAAATTGTTCTTTTAGCCGACGCGTTTCATCTAATGTGGAATTTTTCAAGGCAAGAAACGAAATGAACTCATTGAAACAAAGTATCTATAAACAACATATAAAATGTAGTTAGTAACTAGAAGAATTTAGAGACGCTAATGTTTAATTATATGGTCAACATCAATTACTTTATCAAATTTAGAATTTTTTTTCCGTTGGTAGTTTCATAATTCAAAGAAAATGTTCAACGAATGATTTATTTTATGCAAATATTTCGACTTGATTTGTATTCTTAAGCGTTTCTTTGCACTGTTTTACTCAAATGAAGGAGTGACTAAGTCTGGCAACTGCTAACCGAAAATTTCCATAGGAATACGACAAGTTTTTTTCTAATCAATTACTTTATGTTTGAAGAGAATAATTTTAAGAACATATCATCACGTGTAGAAATAATCAAAATACAAACATTATTTCTACACGTGAAAATATTCTCTTAAAAATATTCCATTCACACATAAAATCCTTTTGTTTGTTTTGTTTAATTTATTTATTGAAAAAATGTTTGAATAAAGTAAAAATAAACAATTTTTTTTGTTTTTGTTTTAATGCAATGATGGAGAAAGCATTACCTTGAACCATCGCCAGTGAGACACGCTGCAAGAGCCACTCCGTTTCGCGAGGCTCGTCCCTTAATCGAGACGCAATCGCGCCAATCCTCCAAAGGAACGCCATTTTTTCCATATGAGTAAAAAAAAATCTTCAGCAAGAGAAGAATATTTAACTATTTTTTAATCTTTGCGTCCCGAGCTACCTGATCAAATTACCGACCGACAATGTATCCGCACAGGTCGCATCCCAAATCAACGACTTTTCCCATTTTAAAAGGGAAAATGGTAATGTCATACGGCTGCTGTGCATCACCACGGTTGTTTGTTGTTTCAAGACGTCTGAGAATGCGAAAAGGCAACTGCTCACTATGCCAAAACAAGAAGTTCCAGGAATGCTTCACTCACTGAAAACGACGTTGGATAAAATGTGTGGCTTCAGGAGGGGACTACTACGAAAGGAGAATAAGTACCGAATTGATATTTTGTAGTTTTTTTTTATATCACCAATCACGATACTTTTTGATATATCCTCGTATATTAATTTTTTAAAAAGGATTATTAGTCCTAGCACATCCAATATAAGTGTGTGCATGCAGGTTTGTGTTCTGATGTGTGCATACGTATATCAAGTCGATTTTCAGAAATGTTGCCTTCCAGATCGAATTAGTTCAATAACATGTTGCGAATGCAACTTTCTATTAATATTCTACGGTATATGCCTGTTTTTGTCGATTTGTTTAACTCTTTCTTTTTTTTCTATTATATATTTCTTTATTTTTAATTCTAACACCATTTTTTGATTTCTTGGGCTTTTTTTCTTTAATTAGTACAGGTTCTTTTCCAGTAACTTTTACAATATTTCAAACATGAAACATACAATCATTTTTGTTACATTTCGAACAACAGAGATAAAAACTTGAATAACTGGCAAACTTATCTTTATTGTTAAATAGCGGAGACAAAAACTTTTGTGAGTGAACAATAGTTTTCCAACCTGCAACCCCTTTTCTCACATACGAAACGTTGCTCGCCTCTCACTATCCTAACGATATTTTCATGGCAAATGTTAAGACGACTGATTCCATAAGTTGAGGTCTTCGCTGCTAGGATCCGCCACATCATCTACACAGGGTTGACTCATCCTTATCCTATTCGTGTTCCATATGTGGAACAGACTCCCGAGTAAGTGCTTCCCTGATCAAAATAATATTCATCTATTCAAGTTTAGTGCCAGCCGTTATCTATCGTAGATATTCTCATAATTTGATCTTGCTTCCTCGCTTTACGCTCTCGAGGCTTGTACAAGAAAAACCTCACTGTAAAAAAAAAAGAAGTAACCGTCTACATTGAGTATCCCAAACCTTTCTTCCATCAAAATAAAGAAGGTTTGTCCACAATGATAACGCCTCAAATAATTAATACTTGAAACCAAGGAATATGCAAATAGGTGTGTGTGTGTGTGTGTGTGTGTGTGTGTGCGCGCGCGTGCCTGTGCGCGTGTGTGTGAATTGTCGTTTAAAACTTTTTATAAACACATTCAACTGCTAAGATGAAAATAACCCAGTTATCCTTATGCCTGGGGAAATTCTCATAGTAATTAAACCCATTATTAGTGCAAGTCATGCATTATTCTTTTACAACGGTTGTGCATATTGTAATTGTCTACCTTTCTAATTTCTATAAACATCGAACGTTTGTGGTTTGTTTACTTCGCTATCTTGTTTACATTATTTACTAAGATAGATAGATAGATGATAGATAGATAGATAGATAGATAGATAGATAAAGAACAGACTGAGATAGATAGATAGATAGATAGATAGATAAGAACAGACTGAGATAGAGAGATAGATAGATCGATAGATAAGAGCAGACTGCGATAGATAGATAGATAGATAGATAGATAGATAGATAGATAGATAGATAGATAGATATTGATCCGAACGAGATCATGCTCCAAACGAAAATCCCAACAATAAAATAACTAGAGAATCACCTGTACCAAAAAAAAATATAAGAAACTTTTAATTCGTCTGTTACTCGTCACGGAAAGACTCCAGACAAGTTTGTGTTTGGAGTTGATACAGACTGAATAAAGACAATACCAAACTCGTGCAATTTTGAATTGTCCACGTCTCATTTGTGAAACACTTTCCAGAAGAATTGAGTGCAGCAGAGCGGTGTAAATAAAGCAGGCTCGGATTTGGATGGAGACAACAATGACCCGGCCCATCAGGCCAACAAAGTGGACGCTTGTTATTTGAATAAATTGCAAATCTTTACCCTCACGCTTGGCCAGTACATTTCCATTCCAATCATCGTTTCTGTCATTTTATAAATACGATGCCTGATCTCCAATTAACTGCGAATCCTGTTAGATTGTGGCGCGTTTAATTCAAAACTGATTACGTATTCATTGAGAAAATATGCCTGGCTTACTTTCAAATTTATTTTTTTGTCTTTATTTTTCTCTCTTTTTCTTCTACTACTCCTCTTTTTCTTTTTTGCTTTCCCTCTCTCAGTCTTTTATCGTTAATTTCTTTCTTTCTTTCTTTCTTTTACTGTTTCAGTCTCTTTTTTTCCTTCTCAGTCTATCTTTCTTTTTTTCTTTTTTCAGTCAGTTTTTCTCTCTCTCTCTCTCGGTCTTGTTTGTTTGTTTATTTGTTTGTTTGTTTGTTTGTTTGTTTGTTTGTTTCTTTCTTTCTTTCTTTCTTTCTTTTAATGTTTCATTCTCTTTTTCCCCTCTCAGTCTTCTTTCTTTCTTTCTTTCTTTTTTCTTTCTTTTAATGTTTCAGTCTCTTTCTTTCTTTTTTCTTTATTTCTTTCTTTCTTTTAATGTTTCATTCTCTTTTTCCCCCTCTCAGTCTTCTTTCTTTCTTTCTTTCTTTCTTTCTTTTACTGTTTCAGTCTCTTTTTTTCCTTCTCAGTCTATCTTTCTTTTTTTCTTTTTTCAGTCTGTTTTTTTCTCTCTCTCTCTCGGTCTTGTTTGTTTGTTTATTTGTTTGTTTGTTTGTTTGTTTGTTTGTTTGTTTCTTTCTTTCTTTTAATGTTTCATTCTCTTTTTCCCCTCTCAGTCTTCTTTCTTTCTTTCTTTTTTCTTTCTTTTAATGTTTCAGTCTCTTTCTTTCTTTCTTTCTTTCTTTCTTTCTTTCTTTCTTTCTTTCTTTTAATGTTTCAGTCTCTTTTTCCCTTCTCAGTCTTCTTTCTTTCTTTCTTATACGAGTTTGCTCAACTAATGCATTCTGATCAACATTCATCATGTGCTACGCCCTTTCCTCGTTTTACATTACCAATTTCCCTTCTCTCCCTCGCATTTCCACTTCCTGTCTCAAACTTTTATGGATTTCTTGCTATCGACCAAAGGTGATCGATCTCTATATTTGATTCTATGTTTTTGATTTGTTCTGATTTTACTTTTTCTTTTCTTTGTTGTGTGACTTTAACGAGTTTCTCTCTGTATCACACTTTTTTTTAAATTTCTTTTACAATCTCTCTTTTTTATCTATCTCTTTCTTATTCTCGCTTTCTTACTCTTTTTATCACTCTCACTTTTTCTTTCTTTCGCTCTCACTTTTTATGCCTTTTTACCTGTCATCGCCTTTCTCTCTTTTTCTCGAATTGTTTTTAAACAATGTCTTTATTTCTTTTCGTCGTTGCTTTTACCTTCTCTGCCCTTTTACACACATACAACCTATTAAGTCCCTATCTCAGTTGGCTCATATCTATCTATCTATCTATCTATCTATCTATCTATCTATCTATCTATCTATCTATCTATCTAAGTCTGTTCATCTCTCTCTCTGTCTCTCGCCCAATCGTTTTCTCTCTATATATACAGGGTGCAATGGATAAATTGTTGTCTAAATTACGCAAAATGAAAATAACACTGATATCTCGTTTTAACAGATATATTACAAAATTACACAAAAAATATCTTGAAAAACTAAACAATAAACTTATTCAATAAAATTGCCAACCTCGGAATCTCTTGCAACTCTTCTGGACGGTCTCCTTGTTTAAGTTCATCTTTGGTGTTAAAGGAGTTTTGTTGGTTTCTCGCTTAACTGCGCCCCACAAATAATAATCAAGGGGGTTACAGTCTGGGGAGCTAGGTGGCCAGCTCTAAGAGGTGATGTGGTCGCAGAAATCGTTTGACAGGTATGACTGGATTCTCCTGCTTGTGTGGCATAGTACAGGTCTTGTTGCCAGACATAGGGGCTTCCAGCAGCCACCCACTTGACCCTAACAAGGAACTTGACGGAGGCCTCAGCATTGAATCCGAGGCATCCCGCGGGGAAGATGAACGGCGGTATAATGTCGCCATCATTAGTGATCATTCCAAACACCTTCGTAATCACTCATCCAACTCTTTTCGAATCCTATGCACTGTCTTCAGATTGACACTTTGAAATGTTCGTATTTGAGCTTCCGGCGCAAATGCCAAGCAGTACAACAAGTTTTCGTCGTTTGCGAATTGCGTCATGCTGCCCTACAATACTATTAAGTCGAGAAAATCAAAAACAGACACGAAATTAAAAAAATATACAATGGTGACAATTTGGCCATCACACCCTATATATATATATATATATATATATATATATATATATATATATATATATAGTCTATTATATCTATCTATCTATCTATATATATATATATATATATATATATATATATTTTGTTTTTTTTTTCTTTCTTAGTCTTTTTCTTTTTCTTCGTTTTCTCGTGAAAATAGGGTGTATCTTGTTTTTAAATGTAAAAAAGTGTCTACTCACCAATTATTTACTAAAGCCTGATGAGATGTATTAATACGCATCGAAACAGGATTGCATTTGTGTAGCGTCTTTTTTTAATGTTTTGATGTAATATCCTAAAATAAAGAATATTGTTCTACTTTTGTATTGACCATGATTTTTTTATTTTTATATATATATATATATATATATATATATATATATATGTATATATGTATTTGTATATGTATATCTATATATATATGTATATATATATATATCTATATATATATATGTATATGTATATATATGTATATGTATATATATGTGTATATGTATATATATGTATACATATGTATATGTATATATATGCATATATATATGTATATATATATCTATGTATATATATCCATTTGTTCCCATTTTACACACACGCACACACACACACACACACACACACACATATATATATATATATATTTCTTTTAACACACTTTGTCTCTTCTTTTATCACTCTATCATTTGTGTTATCTTTTTTCCTTAATCCTATTTTTCTCATACTTTCTACATTCAATCACTTCATTCCATTTTACACATCTTGCAGTCTCAATCTCTCTTTTTTCATTTTCTTTATTACTTCTCTTTCTACTTCTCAATCTGCTTTTTACATCCTCCTCCCCAATTCTTTTTAAACCATCTTGTCCTGCAATTTTTGATTCTTCCTAATCTCCCTCATTATCACATTACCTTCATCATGCCCTATCTATTCCATTAACTCTGTCTGTTTTTTTTTAATCTCTAATTTGATGAATTCTTCCATTGATTTTTACGTTCCTTATTTTCTCTCTTTTTTTTTTCGTTCTCTCTCATTGCAATTTCTTCTTTTCGCCCCATTTACCTTTTATTCACTTTATTTCGTTAATTTTTTCCTCCACTCCATTTACTCAGAAAGTTGCCACACCCAACGCAGCTTAGTTCCGAACCTCGAAGAACAAAGAAAGAAAAATAAACTACTTTTTTGAAACAGAGAAGGATTTTCTCTTTTGGAAAACAGTTATCAATAAAAGTAAACCATGGACTTTCTTTTTACATTAATTATTTCGTTGCTATTTTTTCATATATATATACATATATATATATGTATATATATATGTAATTTTAAAATGATTATACATATAATAGCAAAATTATTTCAGTAACATCTGATCTGTTTTATTTCCTGGACAAGGTTTTCTTTCATATTTTCAAGGAATTTCAACACCAAAATAATCTAAAATATATATGGAAAGAAAAGTTATTTTCAATAATATTCTAATAATGAAATCATTAGCAAACATCTGTGCTGATTGTATTTTAGGCGTGTGCATGTTAACCTGTAAAAAAAATAAAGAGGAAGTATACAAAACTTGGGTTTCTATTACAGACCATTTATTCTTTTTTAATGGTGACTGTAAAGAAATAAAGTCTCTCAATGTCTCTTCGGCGTGTTCGCTTTCTTTTCTGGCCCAGAAGTAAGTTTGGGTTAGTATACATGAGAATGGTTAAAATGGTCGAGTTCAAGTCAGCTTTGCGCTGAGTTGGAACGACCAAATTACTTCATGAATGGAGCTGCAAAATACGTCTGAACGCTTTTTGTGTTGAAAAGTGGAAAAAGAAAGGTTTTGTCCTTTCCGGAAGTGAGATATAAAATTACTGCAAACCCTTTCCGACTGCAAACCCTTTCTTGTTCCTTTATAACTCGCATCTTTTGAAATTGATTTTTTTAAATTTATTTGTTATTATTATTTCATTTTTGATTTTATTTCATTTTTACACAAACCTTAGTCTGTCAGTAATGCTTACATTAATTTTTGTCCACTGAGAATGACTTTTGAAAATTTTAAATGATTTTCAACAAAAAATCATTTGCAATAATTTTCTAAAGAAAATATATTTTCCAGAAGTTAGAGTAAGTAATGATAAGAATGGTTAAAATGGTCGAGCTCAAGTCAGGTTTGCGCTGAGTTGGAACGACGAAATTACTTCATGAGTGAAGCTTCAAAGTACTCCCAAAAGGGTCTGTTCTTTCCCGGAAGTGGGGATATAAAATTGCACAGAGGACCATAAACCCATTCCGGTTCCTTTATTATTTGCATCTTGGGAAATTGAATTTTTTTATTATTGTTTCAATTCCTATGCTCAACAAATGTGTATGAATGTATTTTTTTTTTAGTGAAGTATCGTTTCATAGGAGATAAAAAACACTTTTCTGGTGAAAAGTAGAAATTACTTAACTGTTATGTCAAGCAGTGTTTTTTTTTTGCGTATTGGGCCTAAGAGGGAAAAGACGAGCATTAAGTTTGTTCTTTTTTGTCTCGTTTTGGCTGAGGAGGAAGTGACGTAGGTCGTTAATGATTGGTCGCTTGTAATTTCAAGATCAGCAGCCTCAGTTATTTATATGTCCGTTGTTGTGTACTTGGTGGAATTTTTGCTTCGGGATCGCCTGCCGGAATAAATTGTTCCGGTAGGGTCGCATGGCTAAACAAGTATGATGTTGAAAGACCCGAAACTTGTCATGATCCCCTGTCATAGCATAACTAATAAGGTGATGCTGTGAAAACAAAAAAAAATCATTTATTGACTGTATTTCATTTTCATTTCTCCCCAAACTGTCAATAATCTTTACCTTAATTTCTATCCACTGACAAAGTCTTTTAAAATTTTTTTAATGAATTTCAACAACAAAATCATTTGAAACACATTCCACAGAAAATCTACTTGTAAGGTATTTTCATAGCAAGATGGACATTTCAAAAGTGGTACCACGAATTTATTTCCGTCCTGGGTAAGACGATAAACTACATCCGACAGCAAGGTCTTTGATCAGAATTTTTTGAGGAGTGTGGAATCATCTCTTAATTGCTGGAGTTGCCAGGTCCACCCTGCCCCGGAGAGATAGCACCTGTGAGGGTCCCAGCTATGGGCAAATAGTTACCTCCACCAAAATGGGTCAAAACACAATGAAATTACAAAAACAGGTTTTAATACAAGCAATAATTTTTGAAAATGAATTACCAGCAATACATTTTTAAAAAACAAATATTACCAGCAATATATTTATTGAAAAAAATTACCAGCAATACATTTCTGAAAAAAAAATCCAGCAATACATTTTTGATGAAAAAAATATTACAGCAATACATTGTTGAAAAAAAATATTACCAGCAATACATTTTTGGAAAAAAATATTACCAGTAATAAGAATCTTGCCGGCATTAAATAACCCATTGAGGTTGACATGCCGTAAATCAAAAGAAACGAAACGAAACCAATTTATTTATACGGAAACAAATAAACTTGTAGTTACACCCTAGGATAGAATAAGTCTTCAGCTATAAAATGCTATCGTCATAATTGGCTGTGCATTTTCATTAGGGATAAACAAGAAGCTGTATGTCATGCCCATGAAAACGAAAAAAAAGAAAATACCAGCAAAGATTACACACTCATACGGCTTATCAAGCATTTGCCGATTACTTAAAATTAATCGGCAAATGCTTGATAAGCCGTAGAAAATGAAACAATCAATTAAACAAAATTAATCCACTATCTTCCGAAAAAATGATAATTCTTATATAAAAAAAAAAGTAATCTGAGAAAAATCGGGATTGCCGCCCTCCTGGAGAGACATGGCATATTTTTAAATGTTGAAACGAAAATCAGAAAATTGACAGACCGTTTTTGTTTCCGATGGCGAGATTTGGTCTTCTGGCCTAGTTTCGATAATTCATTTGAATTTCAGTCCAAAAAGAATTTTATTCTCAAACTTCAAAGGTTTCTTTGGACACCCTATATTCTTGTCCTCCAATTATAATTGATATTTATCAGATATCGAAAAGTCAAAGGCCATTTACAAATATACAATTAAAGATAAGCCACTTAAACATTGTTTCATTATAATATCAATCACGGAAATTTTTGTCGTCTGTTAATAATTAACTTTTCGAAAGTATGGAGGCTCGTTGCTGTATAAACATAAAGCGGCTGCAACTGAACATTGCTTTGTAGAAAAACAAAGTCGACTTACATAAGCTGATTGGGCGGAGATATCACGATTATTGAGATATAAACGTGTGA